TGAAACTATGATGACGTCAGATTTTTCTCAGTGTGTTTTTTGTTGCTATGAAACTATGATGAAGTCAGATATTTCTCAGTGTGTTTTTGTTGCTATGAAGCTATGATGAAGTCAGATATTTCTCAATGTGTTTTTTGTTGCTATGAAGCTATGATGAAGTCAAATATTTCTCAGTGTGTTTTGTTGCTATGAAACTATGAGGAAGTCGGATATTTCTCAATGTGTTTTTTGTTGCTATGAAGCTATGACAAAGTCAGATATTTCTCAATGTGTTTTTTGTTACTATGAAACTATGATGAAGTCAGATATTTCTCAATGTGTTTTTTGTTGCTATGAAACTATGATGAATTCAGATATTTCTCAATGTGTTTTTTGTTGCTACGAAACTATGATGAAGTCAGATATTTCTCAGTGTGTTTTTGTGTTGTTGAAGTGAAAGTGAAATAACCTACACTCTAATATAAAGTAAAGTCGTCAAGAAAGGTTCACTTACATTGAAAAGAATTTAACTCGTCAAATCAATGAGTACAAACAACATATTTACCTTGACAAAAAAATAATACAATCATGAGTGGGCTCACTATAAAGGGATATTGGTATACATGACATACATGTACATGTAGATCGATGTGTCAAGGGGGAGCAGGGTGATTTGGTGACTTGGTCTGGTCACTGGCGGGTTTGGGGTTCCTGATAGGAGACATGCAGTGGTTAGGCTTGATGCCACATGGTTTGGGCTGGCAACAGTAATCAGTAGATCACCAGGGTCCTGGGTGCATGGCAGCAGACAGGCTTGAGACAACATGGTCTTAACTTGAGTAAGAGTGGTCCCTTGGGCATGGAACACCGGAGCAGTTGGCTATCAATGGAGTGCTGGAGAGCAGCAGCAACGATATGCCCCTCCTTGAGGAGCAGAGCTCTGGCATGATCGTGGCACACCCACATTTAAAAGGGACAAATTGCCACACTGATTGAAGACTACTGAAAGTGCCTTAGGGCTTTCAATGGAGCATTAAGTGAATGTGCATGGCTCACATAAATAGTTACAACATACATATACATGACCAACTAACAGCAATGCCATGCTTATTAAGGCTTCAAATATTCTGTACGTTTAAAGGGCTTGTAACGGGGCGAAGTGCTCGTCAGCAATGAACTGATTAATCATTTACAGTACGAAAAAAGGAAAATAAAAGTGAAAAAAAAACAGAAAAAATGAAAGGGGGAGGGGATGAGCACCCTTCCACCTCATGATAACCATGCCTGTTCAACATGTCCATTGAAACTGAGTTTACACTATGTCTGACCATAGAGGAAGGACACAGAAGGAATTGCAACTCTGGCACTTCAAAATGTTCAATGATGGTCGCCGCCAAGTGAGACGAATAATAGAAAACATTCCAAAAATGCCTGATTACTGCCTGCATCTTAGCTGGACAAGCAGGGCCAATAATATCCTAGCAATACTAGTAGTTTTTTGCTTGCAATTAAATACAAATTATCGATGTGATGCGGAAATAAAGAGAGAAAAATTCCTGATATTAGACCTACTTTTGTCATCGTAAATAAACTTTTAAAATTGTGATACACTGTTCCATTATCCATGCAAATTTGTAATTTTATTCTCCTCCGTCCAATGCATCAGTGTTCAAAGACTTGGTACAAATTTGGCTAAGACTGGCCAACAAAATGTGCACTACTTCTGGAAAGCTTAGTTCATGAGGAACAAAATGCGCTATTTTATCACAGGGAGTGATGGTGAAATCTCATAAAATACACTTTTGTACAAATGCCATAATCAAAATGATTCAGACAAAACACTAAATTTAGTAAACAACAGGGCTATTTATTAACAAAATAACTCCAGAAGAAAGAGTTTATGAAGGGCAATGACTACACATATAAATTTAGGGCACATAGCATAATGCAAGCAACTGCACAAGCATTAAATTTGATGTTGTCATGAGATCATACCAAGCACCAACAAAGGCATGAATATTCAATTTCTTATATCTCAGTACACGAAGTTTTAAGGATGCAGATTACATTTACCAACGACAAATTGCGGCGGCGATCATAGGGTACAAAGGGGTTTCGTGGTTGTGAAACAGATGGTGCATAGCAAGCGTTAAGCATTCGCTGCGCTCTGGCTATGGACATACCAGTTATGCCAGAAAGCGGTAATTGGCCAGCCCAGGCAGTTCAAACTCCTGTGTCTTTCCTCTATGGTCTGACCCAGTACACCAAGACTGTCCCATTCAGAGCATCAATGTATGCTGTTAACCACTTGCAGCTAGGGGACCCGTTTTCGAGCATGTAGTCTTCATATAACGCAGAGGGTAACCCGAAAAAGGACAAAGGGTCTTGTAGCAAAGACCGTACTCAGAACAAAAGACCAGGCTGCTGGGCATTACCGACATTTTTTCACTCTCAAAAGTGGTGATAATCCAGCCTTGTTTTGAAACAGTATACCACAGTTTGGGGCATTTAGAGTGAGCGGATTACCACAGCGATGAGCCACACAGCACCGCTGCATGCTAATCTGGCCCCTATTGAAAAGAGGTCTGCAGCACACTGTGCCAGTTTCGTGAACAAAAGAAAGTTACATAACACTGCACAATCTGGGCTCTTTTTACAAGGCTGCAGACCTGGCTGAAATACTCAGGTGTCACTAGATTTTGTCTGTCAGACTAGAGTGGCTACCAGACAGTAATTCGTGTGGGTGCAAACGTCCATTTATTGAAATGATGAATTTTTGAAGAATTTTGAAAAATGAATATCTTGGAAAGTCCTGATTATGTGCACTGCATTTTTCAAACCACCTGGCACCAAGTGATTATTAAATCTCGGCTTGTTTTTCTGCCAAGATGATCATGATTAGTAGAGGACACAATACACACAATGGAATTAGCTCCCTTACCTCTCTAAAAGTTTCTGGAATATTTCTCCACTTAGTGAGTTCATAATCTCCTTGATGTAAGGCTGCGGCATTAGAATAATAAAGACAATGGAAAAAAAGGACAAGAATGTTTCAAACTGGCATAGGACACTTTGCATTAATCCAGCAGAAATATCATACTTGCACATCAGCGATTCCAGCAATACAAGCACTTGTATATACATATATATTTGGTCACTTGATGTGATGATATTAATGCTGCAAACAACTACCGGTACGTCTACATGTAAAGTCAAGAAAACATTTACTGACGTGAGATATTGTACACAAATGCACTGATAATATGTAAGACCACATAAGCAGCATTACATGTACAACAAAGATCCTACTTGCTCAGTGAAAAGTGCATGCGGTTAAGGTTTAAGTACTAGTGAAGGAATTGGGAAACTAGCTCCTTTAATCCCACCAAACTCTTTGTCCTGGCTCTGGGTGATACTCAAAATATAATTCTAAACATGACTGACATGTTACATGTACCAACAGCAATGTGAAGATTCACATCGTTGTTATCGATTACATCCATTGTATGCATATGCACACCCAAAAACAGTAAAAAGTCAGATAACAGAACACCCAGCTTACGAGCCAACAGAGAGAAAAGCGTGCAGTTGCGCAAGAAAAGCTATTTATATTTACAAGCACATGTACCTGTACATGTACAAACAACTCCCATTTGAGCCTTGAAAGTGGACATACAGGTAAAAGACACTAGAAATGTAAAACCAAAGTTGCACGCATAAGTCACAACGTTCACGTTATGTTACACCGACATGGCAATTGATACAAATGCAGTGTCAGCCGCTAAGGGAGTATTCCCTAAAGGGATCAGTTTCTATGCGCAAGCTCATTAATATTTTGTGACCCAACGAGTCGATTACAATCAGACAGGGGAGCCATAATATGGAGTGATCATAGAGATATTTCTATAAATTGCAATTTTGTGACTTGTGGCTGTCAATCTGGGTTAATTTGTTCACCAAAACCTCCACCTTGTGTGCCTATTTGCATAGGGTCAGGTGACTACATTTACATGTATTGTACATTCAGACTTGAATGCATAGTTTGGCTACTACAGCAAGTATTTGGGGGGTATTTTCGGGGAAGGGCAAATGAAAAATTTTTCTGTGGCTATCCCTTGCAAAATTGAAAAAAAAAACTAAAGCCATAACCTTGAATTTCCAATGAAACACTAGAGGTCAAACTATTCCTCAGGGTCACTAGGTGGCACTATTTTTATCTCATTTTGCACTTTTCTGTAGGCGCATATTTAGTGTAGTGTAACCCTCAATCAATATCAATAGAAAACACAGCAAATAGTAACGTCTTTTTTTCTGCACATAGCACCTTTTCTTTCTTTACAAACAGTGCCTTCCTTTGTTGGACTTTAGAATTACTTTTCCCCTTCTCATGGAAATAGGAAGGCTTGAATTCTTTGTGATGTGTAATCCTAAAACTTAGGATAATTCCAATAAAATCAGAATGGTTGGCAGGTTTGCATACCAGTGCATGTATGTACACAACCCATCCATATAACAATTTCATGTATAATCACAGAATGAACGTTTTGTAAGTTTTACCTTGAAGAGATCTGTTGGCACTTCTCGTTTGATCAAACTCTGTCTGACTGACTCTACAGCCTCATTAGAAAATGGCTGTAAAAAAAGAATGTCACAAACATTATGTTTGCATCTGCTTAATGCAAGGACATTTTGTTGCATTCAGCAGGGGTGCTAGAAATAAAACAGAGTGAAGATTCATGGAATAACACTTATTTTACAAAGTAGTTACTTTGCTGTTGTCACAGAGTTCACAGTATACAGTATATTGTACACTAGAGCAGAATATGTGTAATGTGGCATAAATAGCAGCAAATTGTTGACAAGTTCATTCGAACAAAAAATGAGCTTTTCCGAATACAAGGTGACCTTTTACACTTACTGCTGAAGTTTCAAACACATGAAAAATGATCTTGTCAAGGCTCTTAATAACATTGTTTGGCTGAAGTCAAATGATTGCTGATGCATCATGCATGTACATGTGGTATTGATTAATCTCTGAATGTCAGAACACTGCTGCTGCTATCCAATGGATAATCTAACTGCATGACCGAAACTTTCAAACAATTCATTCGATGGAGTCATTACTGTTACAATGTGGAGCAGGAATCAGTAGAAAAATATAAGAAATTATCATAAAGCATTTTAACAAAACAAAGACCAGAAACTTGTGTAGGACTGTGAGACTTTCAACACAGATGGGCTGGGCACTCATAAAATGACCCCTCACTGAGCGACGTTTCAAATGTGGTGAAGAATTCTGGCAAAAAAGCTTTGTACATGTTTCTGCAAAATTACTTTTACAGACTATGAAGTGACTCTAATAGCAAAATTCTACAAACACTCTTTAGACTAATCCAGCAAAAAGTGAGAAGCCATTACTACTGAGCCATCTTGTTCACACCCAAGTAGTAAGCAACCAGAAGAGTATTGTGACTTACCCAAGTGAGCAAGGGCGCTCAAGTTAAGAACTTGTGCCCTGCAATAAGAGCATCTCCTCAGACTGGTCTAAACAAGTACATGTATGAGGCTAAGTCCAAGGATGAAACTGACCAGGTTTGACCTTAATCAGATCAAAAACGTGGGAGCACAATTATTTTTGTGATTTTGACAAAATGGCCTTTTTACCACCACCTTAGATAAAAATCTAGTCAAGGAAAATTCTACTCACATGTGAACTTGAGAGAAGGTCTTTCATGACATAATTGTCAAATATTTTCCTAGCTCGCTTCAGTCGTTCCTCTTCTGAGTCCAGTTTTTCATATTCAATTATCTACATGTATATAAACAAAACCACAATTGTTAGATTTGTCAACTTCACGTACAGTATTCACGATGAGTGACTTCACTAAGACTACATTGTACAAGTAATTTACCAAAGAGCATCATTATGTTCTTATCCTGAGGCAGGGGGTATGAAACAAACATGTACATAGAGTGAAAAATAAAATGCATTTGAAGGATCCACGCCATGAATTTTTCTCCGACTCACGTTTTGTGCACATTTATACTCTTCCCCCAAATGTATAAAAACTATTTGAAATCCCTTTGGGATTAAGTGTACTGCAAGGTGTTTGATTTTTTAATAGTACCATGTACGTGTATTTTGCGAGTGCTAGGGCTGTTGCTGTAATGTAAATCTGGGGAGACACTGTTCAGTTGGTATGTTTTCATTTGAAATTTTGAACCCCTAGTTTGCTCTCTGAAAACATTTCCGAGAGGAGATTGCTCACTCAGCCTCACTGGCGAATTGCCAAATATTGACACAACAATAAGTTGCTAAAGCAAAGGAAATTTACTTCAGCAACATGTAACACTTTCCAGCAGTTTTGGGGCACAAATCAACCTGGGATGACATCAGTGTTTTTTTCATGAACATACATGTACCAGTAGGTCAGTCTATAAATTGGGGGTTAAAATCCGTTACTTCTCACATAGGATTTTGTAAGTTTAGAACTCATTCATGAATTTCCAAGAGTAATCAAATAATACAAACTACCAGCCAAACAAATACAAACAATTTCAAATCGATTTCAATAATATCCTTTTTCATATTAAACTGGGTCATCTACTGTGTATCTACTATGCTAAAAACCTCTTCAGTCACCACAACTGAACAACTTGGAAACAACTTTAATTTCATCATTTTATTTGATAGTTCGTTGAACAAAAATCAATTGTGTTTCATGCATTTTCCCTTGCAGTACTGGTACATTGTACATGTATTAAAAATATTAACAATGTATTTGCTCATACATGTACGCGTATATGCATTTCAACAGTTGGCATCCGATCACACAAGATCTGTCACTGAACACTGGAATGACGGCACCGCCCAGCGGTGAACAAATTTCACTTTAACTGTTGATGGAATTTTTACAATTTACATTGGGTCAGAAGCAAAGATGGATGTTTCATCTGCCCTTACCAAAGCAATTTACAAAATAAATTCCATATATATACATTATGTTAATGAAGTGCAAACCAACCTTTCTCCAAAGGAGTTATTTTATTTAAATGAACGTAGGTCAACCTACATGTATTCACACCACATTTTTTATTTTGTTACTTGTGTGCTTCATTGTAACTCATATCACAAAAGGTTTGAAGTATTTCTTTACGTCTATGATTTGTATAAGAATTTATGGCACAGCACAAGTAGGCAGATATTTCAGGAGGCAGTGGTCTAATTGTGATTGTTGTAAAGGCCAATCAATGCTAAGCTTGTCATAGTTGACAAAACAAATTGAGAGTTCCATTCTGCCAGTTTGCCCGTGAGAGCATTGTTGTCTCTTGATTCAGAAGATGCAAGACAACTTACTTCAAGTATTGATAAGAGAAACTAACAAGCTGAAAATGAACAGATGTGGTCTTGCTCATGTACATGTCTATATTTCAAATGTTACATTTTGCACTGGTTTGTGAAATTTATACACTCATCTATATTTATTTCTGCAACTCTTTACGACAAATCAATGAAATAGAATTCAGCGACTTTAAAAACACGTCACACCACTTTGAAACAATGTACTTGAGTACCAAACATGTAACTGTCCAAAGATCTTGATCAAGTCATTCAAAATCCACACCAACATGATGGAAAAAAACTGATGCAGTGCCGCTTTACCAAGGAACAGGTTCACTAATCTTGTTACAGTACATGCGCCATCTCATCAGTAAAGGCTCACAGATCACTGAATACAACTGCCAAGGACATGAACTAGACAATCTGCTGGTGCATGAGACTCATCAACATCACACACACACACACACACCTGTTTTGTGCATGGAAGAATATTTCCTGCCCAGACTGATCAGCCATGTCAATGGTACTCATCTCAAGGGCCATGCAAGTATTGCCAGGACTACTAGTACAGTACGTGTACATGCTGGTGTACAGCATGGTGGTTTAGTGTTTGTGACTCATCTTCATCATAGGGTTGGGGTTTGAATCCAGCAGTTGGTTGCATGTTGTCATTTTAGCCTCTCTCCGCCCAGGAGTAAAACTGGGTACCTGTGAAGGTAGCAGCCTGAAATGTACTAAAACTGGCTGCCAAAATGCTGTACTGTTTCAGGAAAAGAACCGTGATAGATCATGCTGCTTGGGATGATGGTTAACTTGCAATGACTACGGCAGATCCTAACAGTCAAGGCATGGCCAGAAGGATGTTGGAGACCAATCCCATGGAAATTGGTTTAACTGTACTGATCGCCACGTTGCAGCTGCCAGGACAGAAATAGATCCAGCACCCTTAACTGCTATCAGTCAGGTTCCGGACTGCCAAGTTTGCAGTCTCCAGGAATTAGGATGCATTTGAAATGTACAACCTCTACTTGATCTGCCAAAAGCTGCAAATGATCTTCATGATAGCAGCAACACATTTAAGCATTTACAGTTTGCACCTGCATTTTTCATCCCCAGTTTAAATTCATCATTCATGTCTTGTATATTATACATATAGATAAGAACCATAATTGAAAAGCAGGTCAATCAGATTGCATTAATAGTACAAACACAAATGAAGTTACAAAAAAATTTACAAATAGGTCATTTGGGAGACATTTTGTAAATTTTTCAGCATTAGGGAGACCTTGGCTTTGAGGGAGACATTTCAGTGTCTCCCTATTTTCAAACTACCAGAAGGAGGCCGAATTTTACTGGCCGTATTTTGAGAGATGATAGGGCCTAAAATGAAAACATATGAAGTTTCGTTCAGATCAGACTAGGGAATATTGAATTATGGGACAGTGAAGTTGGAAAAATTTTATGCACGTTCTTATGAGAATGTCTCCTAATGACCCATTAGCAGTAATAGTAATAACTGTTACATTAACACGATTTCAACGAGATGAGAATTTTTGATGAAGTTGATTTACAAATTTTTCAATTTGTGATTACAAATGTACAGTATCAAACCCATAACCTTTGAGCAACAAAACACAAAGTGAGCTGCACACATGCAAAGAATACGTACTTCACTCTGATAATGACAGCAGGTGAAAGGCCTGATTCAGTCCTTCTAATTACCACTGTTATTATCTATAAACAATTTCCTCAGGTTACGCATAAGTGCTGGAACTTCTTCTTTATAGTTGGGATCCACACACAAGTAACCAGAATACCCATGTACAGAAAATTTGTCAAAAAAGAACGTTGTCTGTATGTGTCTTTTCCGTTTTCCCAGGTTCGTTTCTAAGTCTATTCCATTAAATTGTCACCAAGCTTTCATGTACGCAGCGGCAGCTGGACTACACTGAGCACTGAACTCCATAAGGGCTGATGTGCTACTGCACTCTACAAAAATCACACGTCAAACTTCTTGGTCCGGATTGCGTAAATTTTTCAGTCTGACTACGGCAGAAATGATCCGCAAATTCAAGTGAAATGGAATAAGCCTTTTGCGACTTACATTTGAATAAAATCTAGTTATCTGATTGTACATGAACATAACAATTTGAATTATCCGAACTTAAAGGTGATGTACACTACTTTTTTGGTGTAATTTCACAAGATTGGCTGATTACGGTATATAATATTCACTGCAACTTACATTCCACTGACCTGTTTCATGTTTGAGTCAACTGCTTTGTGAAAAAAAGGAGATAAACAGCGTAGCATTTTCAACGATTAAATCAAAGATTTTGTAAGTTACCATTGCATGAAATCTACAAGTATGAATCACAGAGCGTTTGTAGTAAGTAAACAACATCCGTGGGGTCTGGATGGGAAACAGGCATGACAGGTTCTCTTTTCATTAGAAAAGGAGCAGTTTTCAACAGCCAGGAGTAATCAGTGAATTTACCTTGGAGTAATGCGCCTCCTTGACAATGTAGCATAGCAGACTCATGAAAAAACTTCATCTAGGAACACAGTCAACTTGTGTCTGTGACACTGAAATGAGTAGGCCTATTTGATAATGCACATGACAAATGACCACACTTTCACCTCGGTTTAAATGTTAATGAAAGTCTAAAAACTCCATTCTCAGTTGACTAATAATTATAAGCAATGAGGAATTATGTCTTGAAACACGGGAGGTTTAATAGGTGGAAATCATACTTTTTGTTGACGAAAATCCTTTCAACAGGTAGCTCAAAACAGCATCGTGTTTGGACCATACAATTATGCTGTAGGGGTGATTTTGAAGTTTTCACATTAAGAAAATCCTTTCCTAAAATAAACTTTAACTTTGCACTGATCCAATTTATCTCCTACTTTACATCTTACATTCAATTTCCTATAATTTCAGTCTATAATGCGTTAGATGAATTTTTGTCAGTATTTTTAGCTGCTGTTAGGTTTATCTGTTCATTAATAGAGACTCCCACAACATCTACAAACACAACACACAATTAGCACCTGTTAATGAATGTGATTTGTGAAGTGGAATGAACTCTTAAACGATGTTCGGCCGCCCATTGTGGAAAAAAAAGAGAACAAAATTTCTGTTTTCTTCTCAAAAACTACAGCATTTTGGGCGGGAATACTTTACAGACTGATTGAGGCTATTTTGTACTTCTTTCAAGTACGATATTTCAGGATTGTACAGTAGTCCGATTTGGGGGATTTTACCAAGGGTGTACACTACCTTGAAGTCACTGCTGCTATACCTCGTGATTCAGGGCAAGCTTTTGCATAGCAACCACCATGTCTGGAATGGACTGGTTCCTTTTTGACCTTCTCCATTAAAAACAATGTACTGGTGCAAGTCTTCTCTTATGTAACTAAGCAAAAGCTTGTCCTGAATCGCGAGGCATAGCAACAGTGTCTTT